AAAGACAAATAGTTTTCATATTAGTTACTACCATTTTCTTTTAAAATTAATTTTTACATCATCAAATTTCAAAATGCATGTTAACTTTTTTATATAAAATAATACAGCAAATTCATTTAATAAAATCAATTCAATAACCATGTGTGTCTAACCAATAACTTCATAGACATCTTTTTACAAAAGGCACTTGGATTAGGAAAAAAAGCCATTGTTTCAAAGAGAAATATTCTCTTAAACCCTTGAAAGTATAAATTATTATTCACAGAGCTGTCTAAACAGAAAGAAATTCTTTTACTCAATGATAAAGCTCCTTGAAAAGTTTCAGTAAGAAAGTATTATGCATTATTATACATATAATATTTGAGCCAAATCTTCTATATCAAATACACAGTTATTGGATTTTGTTGGAAGAATCATTTACCATTATTTTAAGACCTTTCTACAATTACACATAGGTATGCAGCCAGAAAAAAAATGTTATTTTCTTCCTAATTCACCACTTTAATAGAACTATTTCCTCTAAAAATTATTTCTTCCCATTGTTTCTGTCTGTATTAAAAATTTTCAAAGTTGAAAATTATAGCAGAGAATAAAATAAAAGGAACTATCTGTATGTAGTGATCTAAAAATGACCTTTATACTTTTAGACTAATTTTTCTAGGTTCTGCGTTAATTATTGTGTGCATTCATGGCAGTAGCTAAAGACACAATGCCTGCTAGAGTCCACAGCAGGATAAGACAATTAGCAAATCCATGAATTCTCTTCCTGTTTATACTTCAATTTTAAAGGTTAAATGTTAGTTTGTATAAGATGCTTTATGCGTTGGTCAGAGGTGTTTTTATAGGACAGAGCTGATGGGAGTTCTTCTTGGTATGAAATATAAGTATATGAAAATGGAACACGCACAAGGAAACCAAATGTAGTTTCATTAATCATATAGCCATGAACATTATAAAGCCTGCAGAATAAATAATTTAGTTAATTCCATTTAAATACATTTATGAACTGTCTACATTGCGCAAAGCACTGTTACGTTTGTAAAGCTTAAATCTAGTAAATAACACCACCACCCCCAACACACACACTTGGCTAAAGCAAAGATGCATATTAAAAAACACAGAGTCAGACCCGTGGAATGTGCATTCAAGGACAAAAAACATTGTCCACTTTACCCCAAACACAGATAAGGCTGATATTCAATGGGTAGGCACCAGAATAGCAGTCTTATTTGTTGACATGTTGAAGTACTTCCACATTGGGATGCCCTCCTGTACTTGGCAGTTGCAAACCTCACCAGAAGGCCCTCCCTTTTATCTCTCCCTGGCTTAGAAACAAAAAGCTTAAAACCTGTCCTCTAGTCCTTGCTGCTGCACTATGGTGGCCCACATCTTTCCTAATTATTTGGCCACCTGTCTGATCTCTTGAGCACCCACCCTAAAAATAAGGTGGAGGTGGTGGGAGATAAGAGGTGAGTTAGAAGAAGTTCAAATGTTAATCTACTTGAAAGGTAATCAGAAAACTATTCCTAAAATTTTGATCAAAAATTCAAATTCCAGCCAGGCACAGTGGCACATGCCGATAGTCTCAGCTACTCAGGACCTGGCTGAGGTAGGAGGATCTCTTGAGCCCAGGAGTTGGAAGCCAGCCTGGGCAACATAGTGAGACTCTATCTCTTAAAAAAAAAACAACCCCCACCAAAAAAATAAAAGAAAAAAATCTCAAATGTCTACAAGAGCTAAGCAAATAAATAAGTCAGCCAAATGAAGGCTTTGGCAAAATGCAAAGTGTGTGCCAATGGAGCGTGTGTGCCCTATGGAAGCCAGATTTGCTATTTGGGGGTCTGTTATTACACTCTTCTGAAACTTTCAAGTGATACTGGAATGTGGATGTGGATGCGAAATCTATTGATTTCTAAATGTTGGCAATTACTTCAATTAAAAACCAAGACCAAAACACTAAGTGAGCTTTTTTATAAATCATACATGTCTGTTAGTGGGATTCAGCTTGAGGTCCAATAGCTTAACTTTTGACTTAGAAATATTCATTCTTTTCTGATGAGGCACGAACTTGTACTTTCTTTTTTTTGTCTAAATAGTGCTAGTTTAAAAAAATAGTGTTTCATGGCCCTAGTATTTCAAAAGTTCACAATTATACAAAATGCCATAGAATTTTATGCCCTAAATGTGACCATGGGGTTGAACTGGTTTCACAAATTAAAATAGTAGGCATTCATGTGGTCAAGCAAAAAGGCATAAGGGTTTTAAAAAGGGCATAACTGATTAATTCATGTTAAAGTATTCAGCAAGTGTATACTATTCTACAGGAACACAAATTCATTTTATCTTTGATATAAACTTTGGTCTAGAATTTGTACCTAAACAAAATCAGGTAAATTCTAGAAAAATTATACTATAAACATAATTAAATACAATGGAAATAAAATACACATCCCCACTTCCTCCTTTAAACAAAATGATGACTAGGACAGAGAATCACTGCCCAAACAAAAGTTGGAGAAATCTTTATGGCTTTTAGTAGATTGATTAGGAATCAGAATTTTGTTCAGGGGGCACCTAGATCTTCCTTCAAGATTTTCCTCCTCCCTAGTGAGGAAAGAGTGGCTCCTAGACACTACTTAGGAAGATTATAATCTATCTGGTACTTTTAAAGATCTCCACCTCCAAATATAAATTGTTATTGGAGGAGAAAGGATATAGGTAGTTACCCTGTTTCAGAACTTCTCAACTGCCAGACAGTATGAGTATGGTGTAGAAAGTGAAGGCAGAGTTCAGGCATCAGCAGAATCTCTGTCATCTACTAGCTAAGTGATTTAAGGCAAGCTGTTTGACCCCACTAAAAGTCCATTTGCACTTCTGTAAAATGAAAATAAGTATACCTGCCTCAAATGTTGTGAGAATCAAATGAGATTACAAAGCATTCACAAAAAAAGTGAGTGTATTTAGCATGATGTCAGGACCACATTAATTTACCTGACACTCCACTCACCCAGCATATATGCAATGCATACACATACACATACAATATAAACACAGAAGTTATTTGCAGCCAAGAAGCAAACAAGATGTTGGAAACAGGTTTGCTCTTGAAAAGGCAAAGAAAAAGGTGCTGGCCCAGAATAGCTCCTTTGCCTGCATAGCTGGTCCACTACCAGCAAGTCTACTCCTTGGGAATAGAAAATCTTTTAGAAGTTAAAGGGACTCTTTAACATCCCACCCTTATCTCTTCCATATTTCCCCATCCCTTCTCCTCCCTTACCTACAGGTCATGAAAATGGATGGAAGAAATAATGCTTTAAATTTTATCAAGTAATAATTTCAGTGATTAATTTTGTGACCATTCCAGAAAGTACCTAGAAATAGAACATAGCATATTCTCTATGTGGGGTTCTGAAGGAACAAATGAATAAATGAATGAGATGCATATAGGATAGAGAGGCTTGACAGGATGGGCAAAGAGGGAAGACTTAAAAAGAACTCAGTAAAGCCAAGGACTAGAGACCAGTTCTGTTTGATCAAGAGGTATCATTTATAAATAATTTTAGCTATTCTTCATTGCTTTCTGGTTCTGTTCCAAGCATTGTGTAAAGTGCATTTATAACAATAATTTTTACAATTCCTATACCTACCTTTAGGAAGATACCATTGTTCCCATTTAACAGAAGTGGAAATTGAGCTAAAGGAGATTCAGTAACATATGCTGCATTCAACATCATGTCAAAACTGAGACTTAAGTCTAACTTTGGTATAATTTCAAAGCCTGCATTCTTAACCAGTTCTGTTTACTACCTCCCTCCAATTGGATACACCTCTAGTTGGATGACTTAAGATATGCAGGCAGATTCTTCCATTACAGGGATTGAAACTAGTGAAGAACAGTGCTTGATGGAGGGGGGGAAGAGCCCTTTTTGGTTTGAGAGAAACAGCCATGAAAGAAAGAATAAAGAGAAAGAGACAGGGTAGGGCAAAGAGAGAAGAGTGGGAGAGATGAAAAAGAATTAGTCGAAGGGAGGTGGAAGAGAGATAAAGAGAGAGAAAATTCTTTCCTCTCAGGAGAGTAGAAGTGCTAACAGAGCAAGCTGGGGAGGGGAAAGTGATAATGGAGGGACATGAGAGGAGGGAGTGTGGTGGTGACAGTAAAGGGATCCAGTTAACATGGTCTCAACCAGGAGTTGTGCTAACGAGCTCTGTTGAGACTACTACCAAACAGCTGTTCAGAGAGCTTACACAGCCTCAGAAATGCCCTGCAACCCTGAGGGGCTCCCAGCTCCAATTCTTGAAGCAAGGTTTGAGGAGCCGTTTCAGTTATATCTTTGTCATTTGATTATCTAAATCAGCCTGCTGCGGGAAGATTGGTTCATGAGGGAATATACTTGTACTTTGAGAAGCAGAATTAGGATATGTCTCTTTCCAACTGAATTGAATACCAAAAAAGAAAAGATGTGTTTTACTGGGTAGCTTTTCCTAAATATTTAGAAATATATTTAACAGTATGTTAACTATATTAACAGTATGTTATTATGATTTATACAATATTATTGTTAAACATAATAACAGTATGTTATTATTAATTATTGAACTGTTATTTCATCTTGACACTTTGCATAGTCCTTAGCTAAAATCTCTAAAATCTCACAACTATGGATAATATGTTTTCAGATGTCACTGTAGGTCAGAAGTCATATTTGGGCTTTGGATTTGACACAGATAGTATGACAAAAAGAAGATGAATGTATATTCCATCAAGACTTTGGTTTCAATTTCATTGAAAATCATCACTAATGAACACTGTCAATAAATACTAGGTGTTCCATTAAGAACAATAGCAACAAATGCATCTGAGTTTCTTCTTAAAGTATGGTAAGGTATCCAAAGTCAATCTTCGGTAGGAAAATTCAGAAATTCTGTAGAATTTTGAATTCAGAAATGACCCCCCCCATGGCATGATTCTAAGTGAAGCAATAGAAAGTATATTCTCTTACCCATAAATTTGATACAGTAGCTTGTTCATGTTGGTCATTCTTTTGTTCACTGAAACAGAATTTAGATTTAGATTTAGGGTATGATTTCAGAAAACATTTACTTCACATGGAAATGGAAATATTTAAGTTACATCAATCAGTCCTGAAAGCTTTTCATGAAGTGGGTTCTGGAAGTCATATTATGCCATTATTAAAATTATAATATAAAATTATATTTTTTAATATAATTTTAAAATTATACCAGTATTAGAAATAATAGTGACAAAAAATCTTGCTGGAAGAGTTAATATGTTAACTCAAATTTAAACTGATGTTTAATAACTGTCACATATTTAGGAATTGTAGGAAAGGACGGCAGGGGTAAGAATACGGCCTCTAAAACAGACGTGGATAAAAAATACCAGTGGAATTGAAAACACATTCCACATAGTATAAATACTGGTCTTTATGTGGATTTTTCTTTAATGATCAAAGAACAGTTTTTCCTCTCAGATCCTATGACTCCAATTCCAAGACACATCAGATATAGCATATAATTTCATTAGAAAGTTGATACAATAGAATGAAAATGATCTTTAAAGACATAAAGATCTATGTTAGACTCCCAAACTATTAATCTATAAACCATCCCATAAAAACTTAGACAAATTACCTCTCTGAAGCTCAGTTTCTTCATCTGCAAATTGGGGATAAGGTAACCATTTCACAGACTTCTCAGGAACTGAGTAATCAAGTGCCTAGCACCATTCCTGAAACACAGTAAGTGCTTAAAACATGTTGCCTTCCTCGTTCCTTCCTTTCCAAGCATTAATAGATGAGACTGTATAATAAAGTCTACCCTCCAACAAATACTTTCCTTTCTAATGTTTTAACTCAATATAATAAACACATATAAAAGTTATCATTTTATGTCAAGTGTATTCATTTCTTACAATAACCAGTCATATTCACTCCATAAATCACACAACTGGCATGAAGCAGATTTGAATTTCTATGTAGCTTGTTCAATTGTGATCCCATATATTCTCCACTATGCCATGCATATTATAAAGTATTTAAATCAAGTCATAGAGTCAAGTTAAATAAATGCAAATATCTGCTTATAAAGTCTTATCTCCCTAAACTCCTATCAATCATTTCCTAACTAAATGCTGGATACCCTTCCATCCCTGCCACGCTTTTGCTTTCAGTGGAGCACTTTTAGGAGTTGAAATACCCTTGTTGCTTTGTTGTTGTTGCTGTTGTACACAACATCAAGTAAGCCACCTGCAGTTTAAGCCACAAAAGTTGGTTAGAGTCCCTTCTCCTACATTTTTCTTTAACTGAGAACCACTGATAGGTGAACGTCTTCAATCCTGATCCTTAGCTGTAATTAAACAGTGAGACCCTTAAAATGGGCTGCCTTTATAATCTTGAGGCAGGTCTCTAACTGCCTCCTGTACCACCTTCTTGGTTTCTATATCTTTTCTCTTTTCGCTATCAGAAACAGAAAAGGTGACGACTATTTGCACCTAATCAATGTAGATTTTTATTCAAGCACTTTGATGTCACTTTTAATCAGGAAGGTTGGCAGTTAAATAACTCATTTACTTAATTTTCTCTTTTTTCCTTTAGGCATACCCGATTACTTGAATCACTCTTTGTCCAAGTCATACATTTTTATTATCTGCATCCTTCTGACACCATTTTTTTATTTCCTAAAGAGGCTATTCCCTTTCAAAAAATTTTTTTTTAAATTAACACTTTCTCAAAAAGTTTGGATATCTAGTTACTGTGTAGTTTCTTTACAAGTGACATTAAAAGTGACATTAAAATTTTACCTAAGGATGGTCCTTTCACTATAATATTATGGTGTTCCTCTTTTATAGGACAGGGTAGAGACATATCCTCTAATCCCATAGACTACAAGTGATCAACAGGGCAATCCAATGAATGAAATAATAAAAACAAGTTTAAGGAAAATTTAATGATGAATTAGAGAAAAGATAGCAGGGTAATATAGCAAAATTCACTTCATGCCTAAATATAGGGAATGCTTTTTTAAAATTTCATATTTATTAACACCAATATTGGAATTACTTAGGTCATATTAATATCCTAGAAAAGAAGAAAAAGTACCTATTTGTCAGATATTGTTTCTACTTTCAGAATCTCTTTTACTTTTTTAAATTTCTTTTTTCTGTTTCTTTTTTAATTTTTCTGAGAGACAGAGTCTTGCTCTGTTGCCCAGGCTGGAGTGCATTGGTGCAATCACAGTTCACTGAAGCTTCAAACTCCTGAGCTCAAGCAATCTTCAGCCTCCCAAAATGCTGGGATTACAGACAGGTCTGAGCAACCACACCCAGCTTACTTTTTTAATTTCATTAAACAAAGTCATACTGTCCATGAAGCCTCACTTGGTAATCTCTAATAAGAAGGTGCCTCATGCAAGTTTAACTATATATGATAAGCAGTTACATGTCAAGGCAGTGTTAGTCCCATAAACACCTTTTGGGGAATGGTCAACACCCAGTTAAGTTATAGTGCTGTGGGGTTTTGTTGGCCTTCCTTTCACTCTTAATCTGCCAGAATACAAAGATACAATATGCATGATATCAATGATTACGTTATACCATAATTTTAAAATCTGGTAAGTCACCAGGCACAAAATGAACAAGCACAAAAATGGGCCAAAGAATTTCAATAGCGTCTTTCTGAGATGAATTTTTTTCTCTTATGAGACTAAAAATACATTTTCTGAAATCCACAAGAAAGTATTTTAAAAAATGCACACCTACCAGATTAATTCATAATGACAATTTCAACTATTTAAAAACTAGGCTAAATTATTACCTTTTTCAAGAATATCTGTACATATGAACTAAATATAAACTTTATATAGAAATCACTTTTCTTCCACGTTCCCTTTTTATACTGTTCAGCAGGCCTTCAGCTTCTATACTGTTATTATAGGTGCCAAATTTGTTGCACTGTATTTCTGAGTTAAAAGTACATTGGCCTATTTTCTGAACACAAAATTGGGACATATAGTCTGACAAAAGATTTTATGCCTCTCCCAGTGAAAGGGATAGATAGTTTGGAATTAAGAAGTTAGGCGCCAAAAATATAGAAAATTCTAACACGTTTCCATAATTTCTGGAGATAGAAATTTAGAATCAGGCTGTCCCAGAAAATTCACAATAGTATAGTGTGATCTGTTCCTTGCTGTTGAATATCTTTTTCTCCAGTGTCTTGATATCCAACTTACTTCTGGATTATCTAATGCTGTCCCACAGTGCCTCATGGAACATTGAAAAACCCAAGTGTTATGCAAGCAAGGTCTGGTGCTTAAGCAGTACACACTCCAGGTATGCTAGGGCAATATTTGACCAGATCTTCTAGTTATCTATTGCTGCGAACAAAACCTAGTGTCTTAACAACTGTTCTAGTACATAATACCACATAATTTCATGGCTTAGATATTCAGACAAGTCTTAACTGTGTGATTCTTTTGTTTGGTGTGGCATTGACAGAGCTTGAGTTGTACTCTGCTGGCAAATGGGTTGCTCTGGAAGATCCAGCATGGCTTCACTCCCATGTCTGGTCCCTCAGCACCGACAGCTGGACGGCAAGGGTGAGGCTGATTATGTCAACCAGAGCACCCAAACATGGCCTCTCCCTGTAGAGAACATGGTAGCTTAGGACTTCAAGAGTGGTTGCTTCAGTGAATAAAGACAAAACTGCATGACTTTTAATGGTTCAGCCTTGGAAGTCCCATGGTGTCCAGTCCGCTCTACTCTACTGGAAAAGCAGTCCCTCAATTTCAAAGGATGTGACTTAGACTCAACTCTCTGATGGAAAAATGTCATATATGTGGTCCATGTTTGTAAATGACAACACCAGGATTGAGAGACTTAAGCACAGAGACAAAGCCAAATTTTATGGAGCTGTGCAGGAGGCTGACTTTTTTTTCTTGGAGGCTAGGCTGAAGACAATATTGCACTCTTGATTAATAAAATGTGGTATATGTACACCATGGAGTTCTACTCAGCCACAAAAAACCATTGATGATCTAGCACCTCTTGTATTATCCTGGATAAAGCTAGAACCCATTCTACTAACAGAAGTGTCCCAAGAAGGAAAAAACAAGCACCACATGTACTCACCATCCAATTGGTATTAACTGATCAACACCTAAGTGCATACATAGTAATAACATTCATTGGATGTCTGGGAGATGGGAGGGGAGGAGAGGATGGGTATATACACATGCATTGGGTATGGTGTGCACTGTCTGGGGGATGGACACCCTTAAAGCTCTGACTTGGCTGGGGCAAGGGCAAAATACATAATCTAAACACATGTACCCCCATAATATACTGAAATAAAAAAATATTTAAAAAATAAAATTTAAAATCTTACACTTGCCCCTGTTATTCTGATTGGCAATAACAATTAGGGTTTATTGTTATTGAAAGTTTTATATCTTTTTAAGGAAAATTTAAAAGACTTACTTCTATAATAAACTGTAAAATTGTAAATAACCGAGTAGCTAGAAACCACTCTGATCTAGTTATTACAAACTATTTGTCAGTGTTCATTCTATTTCTTCTACCTATGTCAGCTGCTCTTTCTGATCCTCTCTATTCACCTAAATCAGCCATTCATCTACACATAAGATAAATCTCATGAAGTTTTCCCTAGCATTCACTGTCCATCATAATGTGTTTTTTTTTCATGAAAAATCTTCTACCATTTGCACCAATCATTTGACTTCCTTTACTGTTAACCCTAAGTCTTTATTTTCTGACTCTTCAGCCAAGGCATAAGCTTCTTAACTATAGGGTTTATTGTTGTATCCTTCACAATGTCTAGCACAGGGATTGCTTAATTGATTGCTGATTGGTTCAGGAATTGATTGATTGATTGATTGATAGACTATTCTCCATGGACTATAGGAATTCCTTTGTTTAAAATAGCTATTAAAATGGTCTTAAAAGAGTAATCCACAATCCTAGTTTAAGGACATCATATTTTGCATTAGAAACAACTCCTAAGATAAAAGATAATGATTCTGTATAGAATGAATGGCAAAACTGAGTGAATAATCGTTAATTATTCTAAGTAATAAAGCATGCCTCATTTCCTGAAGTACAACCTTAGACCACAGCCTCTTCATCTGTAAAGCAGAAATATAGTCATAACTAGCCTATTAGGAATATTTTTTAGGGAGAAAATGAGATAATACCTAAAAGGGTTTAGCATAGTGTTTGAGACTTCATAAATCCCAATAAATTAGGATAACAGTAATAGTTTCAGAAGAAAGTATAATTGCTGTTGATTTCACTATCAGTATTGTGTCCACCATAATTTTGACATAAGAAATCTCAAGACGGTTATTTTGTTATTTCATTTCTTAAAAAAATTATTCTTCACAGTTTGGAGATAACATTGGTGATTTAAGCTCTCTTTATTTTTTTACTTAGTGGGCAATAAAATATGTGCATTAGTAGTTCAGGCTCAGGGGTCAAATCAATCCAGGTTGAAATCCCAGTTCCACAACTCACTAGCTGAGCAAGCTGTTGAACTTCAATTTACCTCAATTTATCCACCTGTAAAATGGAAATAATAACAACATAGCTCTCTCATTATTATTATTGTTATTAATAATAATGAGCATGCTTTACATGCTCAGGATAAATTTTGGTAGAGTATTTCTGCCACTCTTTATCTTTAAATATAGAGAAATAGAATTTAGAGTTTGAGAAAA